CTGGAGCTCCAAAGACTGCTGCCCCCGCAATCTCTTCAGTGTTCTTAATTATAGTAACGCACAGTTTATTGTCAGTAATGGTAACAGTGTTGTAAAGAGGGTAAATAGTCATTCGTTTAATTACTTGTTACTGAAAAAAGTATTGCCGTTAGTAACATCGTTTATTTATAGCGCCATTATTCTCATCACTGGTAATTAATAACATAAATATATTTTTGAAACCTTTCAATAACCAATACATGACACAAAATTATATTTATGCATGCTTACAACAACTGTCATTAAGTGTCATTCACTGAGTTGTGACATTTTAAATGCAAAGATGACATCGTTTGTCATGACACTTGACATAAATCATAGGTCTCAAACTTCATGGAGGGCAGCATCACGGCACAGTTTTGCTCCAACATAAATCAAACACAGCTGATCAAACTAATCAAGGTGTTCAAGTCTACTAAAGACTATTAAGCAGGTGTGAGTTAGAGCTGGTTGGAGCTAAGCTATGCAGAGCTGTGGCCCTCCAGCAATTGAGTTTGAGACCACTGACATAAATACATCACAACCTGTTTTTGTCTTCGTCATGACAACTTGACATTACCAAGACAATAAAACGTGTCATAAATCTGTCATAAACATAATTGTCATAAAGCCATTATAAATATGTCATGAATTTTATAACAGCACTATGTTTTTTTTACCTCAACTATAGTATTACAAACTGAATTTTTAAATTATTTTTCATTATATCTCTTTGTAACTCTCACATGGTTGCACACTGAAGCCAAGCAGGGCTGCGCCCAGTCAGTACCTGTATAGGAGAACACATGGGAAAGCTAGATTGCTGCCGGAAGTGGTGTTAGTGAGGCCAGCAGGGGGCGCTCAAGCTGTGGTCTGTGTGGGTTCTAATGACGCAGTATATTGATGTAGACTCTACACTCAGTGAGCGCCGTCTTTTTTAGATGAGATGTTAAACCGAGGTCATGAGATGTTAAACATAATTGGCTTCATCACTCAGCCTCCTCTCCACCAATCAGCTGGTGTGTGGTGTGCGGTCTGGCGCAATATGTCTGCCATCGCGTTATCAGAGGATGCTGCACTCAGGTAGTGGATGAGAAGATCCCCCCAAAACTGTGTCAAGTGCTTTGACAGACATCTCAAGTCTCCGCAAATGCATAAAGACTCCCGGATGCCCGCAAGGGAATGAAAATCGCGTCTCCCTCCCGTTCATCAAATATGTCGCACACACTTCTCACCCCTCTCCACCGCATCCCTCCTCGCTCTTCGGATACATCGTCCGCCCCACCTCCCACTCTGTCTACACATACGTCACGCACCCCCCCCCCCAACCCCCTACTCCATCTTTACCCCCCTCAGTGTCTTCACATCCGTCATGCACTCCCCCATGCCCTTGCATGTATTTGTTAATTACAAAAACAGTTTGTTGCATTGAAATCATGACAATCATGTTTATGACAGATTTATGAAAAGTTATTTTGTCTTGTAATGTCAAGTTGTCATGACAAAGACAAAAACAGGGTGTGTTGTCATAACAAACAATGTCATTATTGCATTTAAATTGATGTATAATTGAGCGAATGACACTTGATAACAACAATTTAAGTAGTGTTACCCAAAAAACGAATCTTTCCTTCATTAAACAACACCTATGGAGCTTTCATTGTTCACTAAAACATTTGTGTAGTCGAAAGTGCTATTTGCAGCACATTTCAGCATGTAGTCATATTGTAAATATGCGTTGTGCATTTCATTTTGTGGTTGTTTTGTAAATATTAACAGCGTACAGATGTATTTTTTGCATTGTGAACTTTCGCCGTGCATTTCGTTGTGAATATTTTCAACACATTTTATCATAAGACAAAGTGTTATGAGCTGCAATACCTGGAAGTGCTTTTGCTCAGCGTTTCCCTGAAACATCACATTGGTACATTTATCAACCAATCAAACCTTCAGCAACCCTGCAAATCATTTGAATACAAAAACCTGGAAATCCAGAAACTGATTCTACTTTGTTTTTGTGCAACAGCTGAATTAACAGCTGAAGGTAGCAGCGGTTACTAATAAATCCATAGCATTCATATTAGAATTCAACATATTTGCAGAGTAATCTAAACTGGCTATCACCTGGAACATCATGAGGATGTCAGTGTTTTGGTGTGGCGATGTCTTATCGACTGATCTACAACTCTTTGTTGAGGCACCAGACAGTAGAAAGTTCCTGTCTTATTTCCATTGACAACTTCTATTTTTAATCATTCCAGTATATGAGAACAGATCAATATCAGGCCTAGAATCCATAGAGGACAGGCAGAGAAAGTATTTGAGGTTTAAATAGACCTGCTGCTTATTTGCATGACAATAAAAAGCACAAATTGAAATGTTACATCATTAAAAATAGCTCTGTTTTTACATTTTAAGCTGTTTGCAATATCTAACTGTGATTTGTTTAATAATTAGGGATATGTTCCCAATATTCATGATCATAACAATAATTTGGACATCACTGGTTCTGTTCAAAACCTCTCCTACTGGTTTGTGTCATCAACTAAGAAGAGATTATATTTATGAGTCGATATTCATGAACGATTCGGTGCCTAGTATCTATGTGCTCACCTTGAGTTTGACAAATCTGATCTTGACGGTTCAGTTTTTGACATTGACTGCTGCTGTATTTGTGATTTTGTCTACGCTCTGTATACATGTATACATGTATACATGTTTTCAAGGTGGCTCAGAGCCTGGTCAAGGGTGTGTGTGTGTGGGTGTGCTTATACTTCTGTACTCATGAAGACACGTGAAAGGGTGTAGAAATATCACTTTCCTTTCCTTCCTATTTTCATATTTTATCAAATCATCTCACATATTGTGAATCTGGCCTAGTTTAACCCATAAAACTGGTATTTAGATTGACTCAGCTATATTACTTAATGTTTTTGACTGAATCTATTAACTTAGATCTTACAATGCACAGCAAAATCCTCTGAGTAAAAGTTACTCAGTTTTGATAGTATTTGGTCCCTCTCAAAATTGAGTTAAAGTTACTCAATTTAATGAGACAATAAAAGGATTAATTAGGTAATGATTAAGCACTGATGATGCTGTTAATAAGCAGAAACAGAGAAGAGAAACAAAACTAAAACTGACTTCAGTCACAGCCTTAGATGAAATCAGCTGTAATTTAATACATTAACCCCCGGTTTCACAAACAAGGTTTCAGGCTAGTCAAGATTAAATTGTATGTTTGAGCTAAACTCAAAATAACTTGCTTTTTCTAAGGCCATTTTTAATATTGTGGCTTAAATAACCTAATTTAACTAAGGCCTAGTCCTGGCTTAATCTAAGCCTTGTGAAACTGGACCTAAATCTCTCAAAATCTCAGCAGAGGATCAAATCGAACAATAAGTATCTCCATAAAACAGCAGCTTTACCTATTACCAACCTGTTTGCCCTTACTTTAAGAGGGACCAAATACTCTCTAAAACTCAGAGAATTTTGCTGTGTGTTAGGCTACTTTTTTCTGCATTGTAGCATACTTAGTATTTAGTGATCATCACTCTTTTAGTGATCTTTCTATTTCTATAATATATTCCTTTTGGTCAAAGTTCATATGTTCTGTCGAGGGCTGTGAAAAAAACATTTACGATTATTATCAGTTTAAATAAGATGTTAAAAAAATGTTAAAGTCTTGTGACTTTCTTAATGTTTGATATGTGCCTGTTTTGCTTTGCATTCACATACTGCAGTACTCAAACCGGTTACATCTTTTGGTTTTACACAGGATTGTTTTCCACCATGACTTCAGAATAATCCCAAGGGCATCTAATGCTTTAAATGAACATCTGATGTTTCCTTGTTCATTGTGATGGTCAATGAAGTTCAGATCTGCTAGGATAATAGCACTTAATCATTTTACATCAGATTTTATTCATTCACTCATTTATTTTTTTCGGCTTAGGCCCTTTATTAATCTGGGGTCGCCACAGCGGAATGAACAGCCAACTTATCCAGCATTTGTTTTACTCAACAGATGTCCTTCCAGCTGCAACCCAACACTGGGAAACACCCTCTTCCATTCACACACATACACTGCGGCCAATTTAGCTTTTCAGTTCACCTACAGCGTATGTCTTTGGACTGTGGGGGAAACCAGAGCACCGGGAGGAAACCCCCACCAACACGGGGAGAACATGCAAACTCCACACAGAATAGCCAACTGACCCAACTCGAACCAGTGACCTTTTTGCTGTGAAGTGATCATGCTACCCACTGCGCCACCATGATGCCTACATCAGTTTTCCACTCCTAAAATTGTACTAATTTCCATGTGGAGAAAAAAACATTCACATGAAGGAGATCCTTTTGTACACTACAGTTCACAATATCTTCATAACGTTGCTCTATGATTTGCTTATTCTGTCAAGCTTCTTTTTTTTTTTCTAAATGCCTTAAACCTTGTCAAAGCTTTTTAATTGCTGCCTTTTTACGCAGAATCAAAATGACAGCCTGCAGTGGTACAGTAGGTTAATTGCACTGTGTGCGCTATTTAGAAAGTAATTAGTAAAGAAGAAACCGACTTACAGTAATAGAATAAATGAAATGGAAAATACTGTTAAAGCAAGATGATGAAATCTGTAAAGGCACGCAGACATATGTTCATCCATCTGTCTAAATATAACCTGAGAATCCTAAAAACAGCTTTTTTTTTCCGCCGTCGGGCATCCTCGATCCTTCTCCCCGGTTCTACGGCTCTTGCGTCACGCGTTTTTACATCACTCTCTTCACCCTGTCCTTTTCTCGCAGAGGCTTTTACGTCTCTTTACGCAACACTATTGTAAAGTGATTCCCACCCTGATTTCGCGAGCTGCACGACTTTGCTACGTGTTTGGAGGCTCTGCTTTTGATTGGCGCCGCGCGGCGCTGGGCGGGATTCGGCCCCGCCGCTGGATATATTACGCGGGGCACCTTGGAGAGAGCCGGGTACGGCTCCATGTCAAGGTGGGCTTAGTGCTCCGGGAAGGGGTGTAGTTTTACAAAGGAGGCAAGAAAGGACACGCGAGGGAATTCGCTGCTCAAGTGGACAAACAAAACCTTACAGTACACCATGCCCGCTCAAAATAAAGACGACGGAGGATGGAAGAAGTTTGTATGGAATTCGGAGAAGAAGGAATTTCTAGGACGTACCGGCGGGAGTTGGGGTGAGTATACCGTACAGATGTAAAATCGCTCGATTTCAGCACGTCGGACAGCGCAGTGATGCCTGTCACCGCCGTTTCTATAGCAGCGGGTACCCACAGTCTGCCAGTCTGGTCACGATGCAACCTGTATGATTTGACTTTGCAGCAAATGTCTCGCGGACTTTCATATGTCGACATACAAGATTTGCCTGATCAACTGATGTGTTTTGTTCGTTCAAAGCATTTCTGATTAAGTACGCGTATTTGTAGGCGTTTTGTCAGCGTCTCACCTGTTTCGTTGAGCCCCCTCAGTGTTAATGTGTTCATGTGTGTTTCTTTCTAAATATAAAGATATATGAATAGTTGCCGAATGCTGTGCGTGACTGCGATGCTGACGGAGGAGCAAAAGGTCAGCAAAGGACAGCATCAGATTATTAAGCAGTTCGCTGTTTTTGCAGCTTAATTAAACAAAATTACATTTTAAAAATCATTTTGCTGTATAAAAACCAACCACAAAGCATAAACGTACATTGTAAAAGCTTTCTTAAGTGGAAAAGCTGGCTGTTTCATCTCCGCACTTGACGTGAAATCAATCAGCGCGTCATTTAATTAGCACACTTGTCATTATTCACGCGAAACACGTTGAAAGGGTTAAAAATGCATCATTGTTCAAGGTGACTCAAGGTGAAAGGCCTAGTCTTTTGGGTCTGACGGATTCATCTAAGGTTGCACTGAAAATTGACGTCATGTTTTTAAGGCAGCAACAGTTCCTCCTAGTAATTAACAAGCCTCACGCCAGCTGTTTCACCATGTACCCTATCTGATGTGTAAACTTTACTCCGTCTAATTAAGTCATTTACCCTGTTCATATAATCTCAAATTACCTTCAGGATGAATCAAACCAATCATGTGTGGACATAAAATGTATAAAATATCAAGTGTAAGAAGTTGCTAAGGATGACTGCTCAAAATGAGTCGTGCGTGAGCAAAGCAATACCTTCTAGAAGAAGAAAAGGTCAAAACCTAAAAGTCAGAACATCTCCTGGGATTGCAGGATCATCAGATCATTTAGTTCCAGCGTCCGTCTGACATTGCTTTATGCACCACTGGAAAGCACACAGACCTTTTGCCCTTGCCTTAGTGCGCATAATTGGAAGTGTAATGATTTGTACAGTTGGCTCTAATTTGGCTGTGCATTTACTGATCTGGTAGTCCGTGAATTAGGGATAAAGGTAGCAAGACTGGATTGACTGGTCCTGGAAGGAACTTCAGAAATGACCTTACTGCACTGCGCTGCCCCTACACATTGTTGATGTTTAAGACATTGATATTACTCATCATATCCTGTCATGCTGGCACCTCTATATTTTCTGGGGGCAGACTGAGAACACTCGTATTGCTTGATTGATTTTGTAAACATAGCTTGTATATGTATAAATACATTTTTATTAATAACGACTTAAGTTCCAGTAAATATATATTGTTTACATTTTAACTGTTATTTCTTTTTTCGGGGGAAAGAACGCACTTTGTTTTAATCACATGGAATTTTTCCAACTTTTTTTGCACAGGAATTTGATTCAAAATTAAGTAAAAGTAAAATGATCAGCAATCAAAAGCATATTTATCACAAAAAGGATTAAATGCATTAATTTAACATCTTATTTCCCCCCTTTTCTGTGTTAAATTTTGTTATATTGCTTAGAATGTCAATTAGAAATATATGATCAAAAGACAAAATACTTGTTTTTCACAAAAAACTATCATCATTAAATGGAGATTTGTTCATTTATGCAGCAGATGTCCCTCCAGCTGCAACCCATCAGTGGGAAACATACATACACACTCATTTACACACATACACATACAAATAATTTTAGCTTACCCAATTCACTTACATCGCGTCTTTGGACTTGTGGGGGAAACCGGAGCACCCAGAGGAAACCCATGCAAACACGGGGAGAACATGCAAACTCTACATAGAAATTTCAACTGGCCCAGCCAAGGCTTAAACCAGCGACCTTCTTGCTGTGAGGCGATCGTGCTACCCACTGCGCCACCGTGTCACCTATAGAGATTCATATTTAATAATAATTTTAAGTCCATTAAACAATTGGTTTTCAATAAGACTTTATTGCATAAAGGCATATTTATATATTTTAAGTACACTACCGGTCAAAAGTTTGGGGTCAATTTTGTTTTTTCATGTTTTTTTTTTTTTTTTTTAGAAAATTATTCTGTTCATCAAGGCGGCATTTATTAAATGTAAAAATAAAAAGTTAAATTTATAGTGATTCAATTAATTCTATAATAGTAATAAAAATAAAAAATGTTACATTTGGAGTAATTAAATAATAGTAATAATATTAATAATAAATATTGGAGTGATTTCTGAAGGATCATGTGACTGAAGACTGGAGTAATGAAGCTGAGAATTCATCTTTAAAATCACTGGAATAAATGATTAAATTAAATTATAAACTACTTTTGAACAGTTATTTTACAGTGCAATAATATTTCACAATTTTACTGTATTTTTGATTAAATAAATGCAGCCTTTGTGAGCAGGATAAGGTTATTGTAAAATATTTAAAATTCCTACTATATATATTATATATATATATATATATATGCAGTAATGCATTATGACTTTTTTTGGTATTTTAAATTTTTAACACACTTGCTTCAGTGCATTGAATTTTCAACAATCAATGAAAATAAGTAAAGTAATCAAAACCAAAAGCATGTCTTTACCAAAACTTGTCATCATTAAATGGAGTCATTTTACAATGACTTGAATTCTAGCAAAACGTCCTGGAGGGCTGCAGCTCTAGTTTAGCTTCAACCACCTCCAACTCACACCAGCTTAATATAGTCTCTAGTCTTGAACACTTTAATTAGTTAAAGCAGCCGTGCTTGATGAGTGCTGGAAAAAAAACTGCAGAGCTGCGGCCCTCCAGGAATCCAGTTTAAGACCTATGTTCTATTACATTTACATTTTTGGATTTTAACTCTTTTTCATAAATACATCATTTATTTTGCTGCACACAATTCTAAACCATCAATTCAAGTATAAAATGATCACAATCTAAAAACATGTCTGCAACAAAAAATACAGAAGTACACTCTAAAAACGGATTATTTATTTAAAGCAAGTAAACCGATTGCCCTAAAAACATCAAGTTGACTTTACAAAAATAATGTAAGTAAACCCATTGTAACTTGGAACTGTTAAGTTGACTTAATTTTTATAATTATGTAAATTGTACTCACTTTTTTAAAAATAAAAGTAAACTAATAACAATTTGTCAATATACCTTTATATATATATATATATATATATATATATATATATATATATATATATATATATATATATATATATACCTGTATAAATGACATACAGTTAAATAAATCTGATGTTCCAGACTCGTGTCTTCTAAATTCAATACAGGCTATAATTGTAGATTTTATAGACTTAATAAAGCACCAAATATGTAAAATTGTAGACGTGCTAAAATAGTCTGACACTGTAAAAAGATTTAGTTGGCTTTAAAAAAAAAGTGAGTACAATTAGCATAATTTTAAAAATAAAGTCAACTTAATAATTGCAAGTTACAATGAGTTTACTTACATTATCTTTGTGGTCAACGTGTTGCTTTTAGGGCAATAGGTTTTCTCGCTTTAAATAACTAATCACTTTTTACAGTGTAACAACATCAGAATAACCACTCAAAATGTCTCGCTATCGCCCACAGATACTGAAATATTGTCTTTCTCTCTCCACAGCAAAAATCTTCCTCTTCTATCTCATCTTTTATGGCTGTCTGGCCGGGATCTTTATCGGCACCATTCAGATTCTCCTCCTCACCCTGAGCGATTACAAACCCACCTGGCAGGACAGAGTCGCTCCTCCAGGTAACAGCTCTACTGACGTCTCTTTTTATAGCTTTCACAGAATTTATTGCGACTGTAAACTTGAAATAAGATCAAAAGGTTTGTGAAGCCCCAGGGGTTCATAATGCATCTGCATAACAGAATTATAACTGAAAACCTTTTTTTTTTTTTGTAAAAAGGTGTAGATTTTCTATTTATTATATTTTTACTACTGTTAGAATGTTTACTTAATTGACTGTTTATTAAATTGATAAGACAAAATACTTTGATTATCAAAAAATGAACAAAAATGTTAAATAAATGAACATTAAATTAAACAAATAATGTTTTTTTGGAAAAATAACTCAAATTAGCCCATGCAATAATAATAATAATAATAATAATAATAATAATAATAATAATAATAATAATATTATTATTATTAATAGTTATTAATAATAGTTATTATTATTAATAATAATAATAATATTTTTAATAATAATAATAATAATAAAATAATTTAAAGAATTTTAAAAAATCTTTTCTTTCAGTCAAAGTAGAAAAAAAGTAAAGATTAAAAGTAGTTATTTTATTTATTTTGACTGCATTATTTAAAACTACATTATTTAAATATTTAGTTAATTGTCTTTATGGAAAAGACTGCAAAATATTTCAGTTGACAAAATAGAACGAAATTTAAGATATATGAAAATTAAACAAATCAAACTTTAAAGAAATTTAGCCGATACAAAAAAATAAAAGAAAAGAAAAAGAAAGAAATGACAGATAGAGCCAATTTAGTGGATGGGGATGATTGGGGGGCCATAATGGGTAATGGAGGGAATTAGGCCAGGAGACCAGGGTTACACCCCTACTCTTTACAAGAAGTGCCATGGGAATTTTAATGGCCACTGAGAGTCAGGACCTTGTTTTAATATGTCACCTGTAAGACGGCACTCACTGACAATATGGGGTCTCCTTTACTTTTACTGGGGCATTAGGACTCACACAGACAGAAGGTTGAGCGCCCCCTGCTGGCCTTACTAACCCCACTTTCAACAGCAACCTAGTTTTCCCATGTGGTCTCCCATCACACTTAGCCCTGCTTAGCTTCAGTGAATAACCAGTCTTGGGCTGCAGTGAAATATGACTGTGGCTTAGAAAATGAGTTGAGATTTCAAGACTTGATGAAATATTTTTGTAAAACTACATTATGAAAATATTTAAGTAATTTAAAAAGGCTGCAAAATATTTGAATTTCAAATAAATTAATATTAAACAACAATTTAAATATTTCAAATAAATTAATATTAAACAAATTTTAAAAACCTATGTGAAAAATAATGAACAGAGAAATTAGGTGATATTTTAAACAATTTTATTTTCACATTATAAAAATATTTAATTAATTTCCTTAATTGAAAAGGCAGCAAAATATTTGGATTTACAGTTTTTTTTTTTTTTTTTTTTTTGAAAAATACAACTCATAAAAAGCCTATGTGAGAAAGGGTTAGGACTTGCTGTTCCTCTTGCTGTCACAGATAATGTTTAAAGTAAAGCTTGAAAGATTGGATCAATGTTCAGGAACAGATCAAGGGCTAAGAGAATCTGGAATTGATCATCCATTAGTTTTACCTCACAGCTGAAATGTTTCATGTTACTTGCAGAAAGAACATGCAAGATTAAGTGACAACAGGGTGACAGATACAACAAACACATTTACAACACATTAGAGCTCTAAAAAAAGAAACTGATGCTGTGAATTATTGTAAAAAAACACAATCATTACACTTGTCTGCATTCACTTTAACATACAAATAATGTCACTTTCTGAATTATTATTCTGAACTCTGCATTGACTAGGAGCAATCATGTTTCATTTCAGTCAGTGGAAGAAAATACTTGTCATTTTATTAGTAACACTTAAACTGAAATAACTGAAGATGTGTTTCAAGATATAGATATATTGTTAAAGCATTTTTTTACAAAAATGTTCAGCTATTTAGTTTCATTTATTTAAATACTTTCACTTTCAAATGTATTGTATGTGTTCAGCTGTTTCGTCTGATGTAATGGAATCGACAATTGAACAAAATTAAACAAATTTCTTGACTGCTGGGAAGTAAATCTAAAAAAGTAATAAAATAAAATAATAATGTTATTAAATTAATAAATATTCAATGAGGTGATATTTTGAAAGACTTTCAAATTATTTCAAAGATTGTTTCGATCTTTCCACCAAAGCATGTTCTATTTAATCAGAGTTTTAAATCTTTTTAAAACAGAGTGATATAATAACATTTTTAATTTTATTATTAACACTTAAACTGAAATAACTAAAGATGTATTTTAAGATATACTGTAGATGTATTGTTACAACATTTTGACAAAAATGTTAAGCTATTTTGTTTTATAAAAATACTTAAAATTATTTTATTGTATGCGTTCAGATGTTTTGTGTAATGTATCTGATTTGACAAAACTGAACAAAATCAATGAATAACATAATAAATAAAATAAAATATTAAATAAAATTAAAATAAAATAACATAAAAATAAAAATAAATTAAATCAAATAATAATTAAAATAAAACAAAAATAAAATAAAATAATTAAAAAAAAATAAAATAAAACAAAACAAAAAAATAAAAAATAAACAAAATAAAATAAAATTTAATTTAATTTAATTTAATTTAATTTAATTTAATTTAATTATAAAACATTTCAGTGAGAGTTTGAGTTGAGATTCTCAAAGATTTTCAAATAATTTTAAAGATGTCTTCGTTTTTTCCACCAAAGTATTTTTTATTTAATCAGAGTTTTAAGTCTTAAAATAGACTTGGCATTTTTAAAAGATTAAAACTAAATAGCTAAATCTTAAAATTTAAATTTAAACCAATTTGAAAATTTTACAGCTATAAGATACTTAATTTATGTAGTAATGTTTATATGAATTTTAACTTTCTGAAACTAAAGCTTATGTCATTAAATTAAAATAAATAAAAGTATAAATGAATAAATAATGAATAGAAAAGTTTATTCATTTTAAAATTAAATATAATATAAAATCATATATTATTAGATTAATTTGGTCATAGTCCAATGAAATGTGGAAATATTGCTTTCTGTTTAGTGTAATTTATGTTTGTTTAACTAATGTGAATCAGTCAACATTTTGTGAGGTAAAACAGCCTGCAAACAAACCTAAATCTGAAATTACTCAAAACTAAATGAAAGGCACGCTTTCTCACAATGAGTTTGAATCCTAATATTCCAAAGAAATGTAGAGAGAAAGTCACAGATTCAGATGGACAAGACGAATGTTTAAATACATACTGTATGGTACAAGTCAAATCAGTAAAGATTCAGAGGACAGAAATGATTTAACATCTCTCCACACTGAAGTAAATAATCTGATAACAAATATATCCAAATTTGATGTATTCCTAGTATGTTGATTTTTCTGTGCACAGGTCTCACTCATTTCCCACGTTCAGACAAGTCTGAGATTGCCATTAACCTGGATGACGAGGTGTCGTTCCTGAACTACGTCAAAGTCATGAGAGAGTTTCTGACATCCTACGACCAGGAAAAACAGTTAGACAATATGCAGTTTGAAAACTGTGGAGGTATCAGATCACACATCTCTTCTGTCATTTCAATATAGATGTACTTTATGGTGACCAGTTCTGTGTTTCAGCTCTATTTTTGTGTCCTGACTTGCAAAAACCTCACTTATTTTAGTTTCGCACACACTAGCTAGCATATAACACTTGCTAACAGAAGTCTTTTGTGAGATGAAAATAGCCCAATGGTAACCAATTATATCACAGGGATTTGATGAACAAATTTCCCATCCAATCACATTTTTTCATATTGAACAAGTAGCTGTAGAAGGAGGCGGGACTTGCTCATCTTGTGTCAGTAATAGAGAGGAGATGAAATCAGATTAAAAAACATTTATACCAAGATAAAACATGAATCAATATTAGACAGTATGTTAAATAAAATGTTTTACTGCCTGAAATGTCTCTAATAATTGCTGAATCAGTTTTTAAACTGTGAAACCTAAAAAAAAACACATTTTGGTAACTATATGTGATGTACAGTGGTCCCTCGCTATTCACTTTTCGCGGCCTTGCAGTTTCACTGATATTTTTTGGTGTAATTTCACATACTTCAATGTGTTCTACAACGCATTGTGTTCTGCATCCTGATAGCATATTGTGTTCTGCGTCCTGACTGGCTATAGGCCGTCATAAATCAATCTCCTTTTGGGGGCGGGCAGTTTCCCGCTGGGCCGACGTACTTTTTGGGCTGGGCGGATCATCTTCGTATGATCTGATCGTCCTATAAAACCATGTTTTTTTTCTGCCTAATTAACTGACGATTCTGTGATCTTTGACCGATCCATGTGACACAATCTGCAGACCATTGTTTTTTTTCTTTATTGACATTGGCCTGACTCAATCACAAACTCCTATTTTGCGCAGCGCGTATGGAGAACAGAAGCAGTGCGCAGGCGTTTGTCTTTCACATGGGCTGCGTCTGCAGTGCGCAGCGGATTGGCGACTGTTGCACATCAATCTATTTCCATCTATTCTATCTAGTTACCTATCTGTCTATGTAAATACACTTTTTATCTTTACTTTTTATCTGCACCTAGTCCCGTGGCAACTTCCTCCCATGCTGTTAACCTGCAAGTCTTTATTTTACAAATGATATACAGTTGACGTCAGAATTATTAGCCCCCCCTTTGATTTTTTTTTTCTTTTTTTAAATATTTCCCAAATTATGTTTAACAGATCAAACAATTTTTCACAGTATGTCTGATAATATTTTTTCTTCTGGAGAAAGTCTTATTTGTTTTATTTCAGCTAGAATAAAAGCAGTTATTAATTTTTTAAAAACCATTTTGAGGACGTAATTATTAGCCCCTTCAGGCTAATACTTTTTTTGACTGTCATCGTTATACAATGACTTGCCTAATTACCCTATCCTGCCTAGTTTACCTAATTAACCCAGTTAAGCCTTTAAATGTCACTTTAAGCTGTATAGAAGTGTCTTGTAAAATATCTAGTCAAATATTATTTACTGTCATCATAGTAAAGATAAAATAAATCAGTTATTAGAGATGAGTTATTAAAACTATTATGTTTAGAAATGTGCTGAAAAAAATCTTCTCACCGTTAAACAGAAATTGGGGAAAAAAATAAACATGGAGCTAATAATTCTGACTTTAACTGTACATGATATATAAGAACTGTATGCTTCTCACGCTCCATGAGGAGTGTCATTCATGTCTGCTCAGGTGCACTATGTCAGAAGACAATCACCTTGGATATCATGTCATTTTGTTTTTGATTGTCAGCATGTAGGCTTAGAGTTATAATAATATTCATACAATATAGCTATAATGATATTAGTGTACATGATCAAACTAGAGTGCAACTTAAACAAAACTAATACTGAAATTGTTTTAACTTTGGTTTTGTAGTTTAGGCTCAAATAAATATTTGTTGCATTTTTTTAATCGTTTAAGTTCTCTCGATTGACTATATAGAGTCTTTAAGCTATGTTTTGATGTTTGACTGTTGAGTTAAACATTTTAATCTGTTAACGGTCTCTGATACATTGCTTTTATTATTCACTTGACTTTCTTTATTGTCCAAAAGTAAAAATTTATGTTTGGCTTCACCACACAAACAAATCAGCGTTCACATTACACACATCACAGAAAAAACAGGCAACGCAAATACATTCAATGTCAGGCCCGGATTGGCTAATCGGGAGGACCGGGAGAAATCCCGGTGGGACGGTCCGTTCTTTGGCCGCGAGGGCCGGTGTTTTTAGCTGCTTGCACTCTCAGCAGTCTCACTTTTTTCATTTATTTATTTATTTGACCATAGCCTTACTCTTTTTATTCATTATTTTGCCGCAGCTCCGCTCGTCTTATTTATTGTCTCGCAGCCCCATGAGCAAAATGCAGACTGCAGGGTAATGAAGATGTAATTATTATTCCGGCCACACAAGGGTATCAGCGCCATTGTGGTCCAGTGGTCAGCACGTTGCGTTTACGACGCCGTCGGTCAATGATGAGTAATTCTTTTTTTTTTTTTTTTTTTTTTTTATTGTTAAGATATATAAAACTGTAAGGTTGTTGAACATTTGAAGTTCTAAAGCAAGTGTTTTCTTGAAAAAGACGTGATAGTGTCATTAGAAGCTGAATTGGAAATGACCTTATTTTAATATAGTCAGTCGTGATCTGACGTGGGCTGGTCTAAGGCTTGAAACTCCAGGGCTGAAAAGGAGTCTCACTCCGGCCCTGTTCAATGTCATGTAAATCACATAAAAAATAATAATAATAAAAACTCTATTTAAGGGTGCTTTCACACCTACACTTTTGTTTCGGAACGAATCTCGTTTGCCCAGTTTGCGCGGTTCGTTTGGCATATGTGAACAGGGCAATCGCGCTCTGTTCCGCTCCAAAGTAATCACTTCGAGATCGCTTGAATGAGGTGGTCTCGGCTCGATTGAAACGAACCCTGGAGCGGTTCGATTGCAGTGAAAAAGCGATCCGATCCGAGCGCGGTTATATCAGTGTTTTATGGATATGTAATAGGCATACGGCTATATGAAGAGAGAATTATGAGTATGGCGAGAAGTTTCGCGAGTCTCCGGATGCCCGCAAACGAGTGATGATCTCCCGGTAATCTCGCGTCTCCCTCCCGGTCCTCAAATAGGCATCGTCGCGCACCCTTCTCACCCCTCCCCACAGCATCTCTCCTTAAACAAGTGGCGCGCGTGCACCCTGTCAATCACCACCAAACCACCACCTCTCCTGACAGCTTAGCGGAACGCTGCAAAATAAACCCTGACACTCTGACCAATGTGAGGAGAGTTTACTCGCACGTGACTTGTTTTAGCTCTTTTGGTCCGATTAGAAACTTTGCAGTGTGATAGCGAACCGCTCCAAGAGCAAAGAGCAGCAATGTAACAGTTGTAATCTCTGTTTCGGAACAACTGAATCGATTTAAAGTTGTGAAAGCACCCTAAAACTCTATACATTCTTAACACCCAGTATTTAAAATTCTAAAGGCAGTCGGCACAAAGAACATTTGATACACATTTTTCTTTACTTGATGTTGCCTAAAACGTCTTTTTGATGGCAAGAGCTGAAATTTTAAATTTAAGGAATGCGAACAATCTTCAGTAATGACGTGTGCTTTTTGTTTAATTCTCATTGAATAAATTTCATTTGGTTGTCTTTGCGCTTTACCAACAATTGCACAGGAAATTTTTACTATTCAACAAAGTTGCTTTTCCTTAACTGGCAACAGTCCATAACATGCAATCATGTTAAAACTCACACTTTCAACCAAGTTCTTGTATACCATCTCCAGAATATTTTGACTCGCTCCAAATTGTTGTAACCTCCTAATGAGATATAATCTCTGCATTGCTTTTTTTTTCTTTTTAAGCACTCTGCATTTGCAGCAAATGTCAATCCACTATCAATAAATATTCCTAAATATTTAAAACTTGACCTTTATTTAACTTTAACTTTACACTCTCAGAAATAAAGGTACGTGAGATGTCACTGGAATGGTAGCTTTTCAAAAGGTACACATTTGTACCTAAAAGGTCCGTAATAAAACCTCAAGGGTCCATATTAGTACCTAAACATTTTAAGAGGAACCGTTTGTGAAGTTCATTTATAAACAAATTTCGAGAGGATCACGTGCTTATGATTGTTCACAGCTGTTCCAACTTTAGCTAATGACTGATTATCCTATCAGACGATCCTTAACTCACTATAAATAACCAGACTTTTCTCATCTCAATATCTTCATCTTGAAGAAACCCCCCCACCCAACCCTACTTTCCCTCCTTTCAAACGGGCGACATGGTGGCCAGTGATTAGCGCTGTTGCCTCACAGCAAGAATGCCCCTGGTTTAATTCCTTTCCAAACCAGGCGACATTTCTGTTTTGCTCATTCTCCCAGTGATCGCATGGGTTTTCCCCATGTCCTCCGGTTTCCAGTTCAAAAACAAGCACACTAAACAATTAATCCAAAATATTTTAGCCAAACTCTGAGTACACCTTCTCAGCATCCATATCTGACACTTAGCTACAATAAGCAGGAGGGGGAGACATCGAGATCTACCTGAGCTCAAACTCTCCTCTCGCCTTTCAACGGGAGGGAGCCCAGGGCTCTCTTCTGGGACAGCACGTTAAACAAGCTTTATTATCAATCATCAGATAAGTGTGAACTCTTGAATGTACTTTTTAAGTACTAATATGGACCCTTGAGGTATTAATATGGACCGTTTAGAAACAAATTTGTACCTTTTGAAAAGGTACCATCCCAGTGACAGCTGGCGTTTCTTTATTTCTGAGAGTGTATTTTGTGAATCAACATCAACCGTGTGCATCAGCAGGCAGTTTTTGATATGTTCATTATTTAATATAGGCTCCTTCAAAACACGTAGGCACACACATGATGGACTTCCAGTGTGGATTATAATTTTATTATAATAATAAATCTAGTTTTTAAATGTTTTTAATTTGTCAACTCTCATTATTTCCTATATATGGCTTTGGTGCTTTTACAGAATAGGGCGTGCACAGGTGGGTAGCATCTTGACTGTAGTGGGCCACTTTGGCCCAAAATGCCAGGGCCGATTTTTTTTGTCCCAGTCCAGCCCTGATCTCCTTTAAGTTGCGTCTCCTATACACTACAGAATGCGTTCAGCTTGCCAAATTTACATGAATCGTTGATCGCTAGCAGTGTGACTCTGAAGTGCTGTACTGTATGTTTGCAAGTTTTCTCCCAACAATGTTGACGAAACGTTCTGTACCATCAAAGGCACCCACAGTAGCACCCAAAAGGCAGAAGAAGATGCTAACCATCGCACAAAAAGTTGAACTTCTGGACATGCTAAAGGAAGTTAGGCAGCTGTAGCGCCCCATTACGAAAAAAATAAACGAAGATCAAATAGTTTTGATCTTTGATTTCATTCTATAATACTGCACTTATTTTTCTACAAAGGTTTGAACTTTGAGAGTGTTTAAACAAGAAAAAAGTGTGAAAATATGAATGCCTGTCTAGGAAAAGAGTATAAAGTGTGTAGTGAGGGGTTTTACAGCCTCAAAACATCTCTAATAATTAAAAAAAAATAAAGCTACTTTGCAGATTTCGCTTTTTAATTTTTTTATTTTTAGAACGTAACTCCTGTAAATAACAAGGGACCACTGTATCACATTTACCTCATCCAGCTATTTAGCATAAGAAACTCAGTTAGCAAGAAATATGGAGTGGAGTATTATGGAGTGGATAAACACAAAAAATGATGTTTGCTGTTTGTTCAAACTACTTATTTAAAAGGAGTTGAAACAACACAACTCTTAGAGTTTTTTTAAAGGACAACTAAATTGTTTCATGTTCAACCCCCTTAAATTTGTAAAAAAAAAACAAAAAAAAACAACAAGGTAACCCAATTCCTTTATGGTGTCCCAACACAAATCCATTGTGTGGAGCCCAGCATTTCTTGCAGTGAATATTTGCAATGTGTAATACATGACACATTATACTGAATTTACTAAAACACTAAACAATTACTGTAAGTTATTCACACTAACATATGTTTTATGTTATTTTAAAAGAGCTTAACAAGATTCAGCTTGATGTTTTAGGTCTGTTCAATGTAATGAAAGCTCAAATTACTTGCACAAGTTCATTTAAACTTCATTCGTTCATTCATTTTCTTTTCGGCTTAGTCCCTTTATTAATCCAGGGTCGCCACAGTGGAATGAACCACCAACTTATCCAGCACGTTTTTACGCAGCAGATGCCTTTCCAGCCGTAACCTATCTCTGGGAAACATCCACACACACTCATTCACTGCGAACAATTTAGGCAACCCAATTCACCTGTACTGCATGTCTTTGGACTGTGGGGGAAACCGGAGCACCCGGAGGAAACCCACGCGATCGCGGAGAGAACATGCAAACTCCACACAGAAACGCCAACTGACCCAGCCGAGGCTCAAACCAGTGACCTTCTTGCTGTGAGGCGACAGCACTACCTACTTTGCCACTGTGTCACCTCATTTAAACTTGAAATTCTAATTTAAATACTTTTGATTTATCTTAAGAAATGGCAGCAGCTATTTAGTCTTTGGAGTATACATTGTTTAAAATAATATAAATAATTATTTTATTAAAATACTTTTTTTTGTTACACGAAGAACCTTTTACCACCCAGCGAACCTTTACATTTCACAAAAAGGTACTTCAATGTAGGACTGGTTTAAGTTTAATCAAAAGTTTGAATCATTTAAACAGTCATTTTGGCAGTAAATATTATTATTATTATTATATGTTTTCAAATTGGGCAGCATTTACTACACAGAGCTTCAGTTTACTGACAAGCAAAGTCGATTTATTTGGACAATAATGAAATTAAGATAATCATTCCATAACTTCAGTTGAGAGAAATTAATCCTTCTGTGATTATTATTAATGTTTAATCAAGTGGCAACCTTCCTCTCTCCCTTGTGAAGCAAATACAGATATTACTGCAACTACAGTTCATTGACTGACTACTTGAGGCTGGCTCATAAAGAGAGTTACTTACATAGAATCCTATGTTACAATGCTCAACTTTACAGCAGGAAAAAAAAGTGTTTACAACTTTTGGTGTATTTAGCTAATATTACCCTTTATGACAACTGTAAGGGGGTGAATTTCTAAAAAAGGTCTGGCTGCAAACTAGGTGCGCATGTAAGCTGAGAGTGCATGCATGCTTTTAATGCATATGCCTAACACTGCCCCTAACCATACCCCTCACAGTAACAAAAATAACTCTTTTTAGTGTAAGTCTGCAACTTATAACTTACAGTTGAAGTCAGAATTATTATACTCCCCTAAATTATTATAATACTATTAATTATTCTAAAACTATTATTATTTTCGCTGAATTTCTGTTTAACAGATTTTTTTCTCACAACACAATTTTTAACACAACATAATAGCTTTAATAACTCATTTCTAATTGATTTCTTTTATCTTTGCCATGATGACTGTAAATTATATTTAACTAGATATTTTTCAAGACACTTCTATACAGCTTAAAGTGACATTTAAAGGCTTAACTAGGTTAATTAGGTTAACTACGCAGGTTTGGGTAATTAGGCAAGTTATTGTATAACGATGGTTTGTTCTGTAGACTGAGAAAAAACATAGCTTAAAGGGGCTAATTATTTCGATCTTAAATTTATAAAAAAAAAAAAATTAATTATTAAAACTGCTTTTATTCTAGCCGAAATAAAACAAGACTTTCTCCAGAAGAAAAAATATTATCAGACATACTGTGAAAATTTCCTTGATCTGTTAAACATCATTTGGGAAATATTTAAAAATAGGAACAAATTCAAAGGGGGCTAATAATTCTGATTTTAACTGTATGTTACAACCTAAAAGTCTGAATAATTAGGGGTGTGGCCACTTGAGTGACAGGCATCTGCTGCTTGCCATCAAGTCACCTCAGCTACATCCATTTTTTTTTTTTTTTTGGTACAGTTTATGCTTTAAACAATGTCCTTAAATTTTGTTTAAAGGCCCTCAGAGTTTGAAACCCCCATCACTGTTTCTGAATCTTTATTTCTAAGAGAGTATGTAGATTAATATAAGTATTTTAATATCTTTTTATACATGATTATTTCCACAGAATCACCCTTGGACTACAAAAACAGAGGTGATCTGGAGAGTGACGTTGGGGTTAGGAGGGCCTGTCAGTTTTCGAGGGAGTGGCTTGGACCCTGCTCTGGCCTGGACGACCCTTATTTTGGATTTAAGGAAGGGAAGCCCTGCCTTATTGCCAAACTCAACAGGATTGTGAACTTCAGACCTAAGGTTTGTTCATATCCTGCATGCAATGTTTAGGAACACTTTTAGGGTCCAAATCTTAGACAACATTTCTTGGAATTTAAATTAAGTGAAGGTATAAAATGGCTAAAATATATTATTAATGTGGGTGATTATGTTTTGTTCTATTTTAGCTGACCTGTTTAATGCAGCTACTGGTTTATTTTGTAAAGTCTTCATATTTTTTCTTTCAGCCACCAGTATCAAATGAAAGCATTCCGGAAGAGGTTCAGCACAAAGTCCAGCCCTATCTTATTCCCATCCACTGCACAAATAAGGTAAGCCATGCTTTCATCGAATCCGCCAACACAGGTTTAGTGAGAATATGTGCCCAGTGCTACATATTTGGGAAACCACACATACGTATCCTGGCATATGCCTGCAATTTTTGAGTAAAATGAATGTTATGGGATGGTATGACGCTGCTGACTTTAGTTCCTTTTCACACTACAGTCTGAAACATTTGAAGGGATACATTATCGATGGATACAGAGAACTGGATAATTGGTTGTGCCAACTGAGCCTGGTTCTCTAAGTTTTCTTTCTTCTTCACTTTCGTAAATTGTTAAAGTTTGTTTCTCGCCACTGTCACCAATGGCTTGCTTGGTTTGGGACTTGTGGAGCTGCACATTGTTGGATTTGCTCTTCAGTGTTTGAACTTTCAGAAGTGAAATTTAAAATAGACTAAACTAGTGTTGTCACGATACTGTATTTCAGTACCTTTCAGTATTGAAATTTTAAAAACCTTCACAATTTCCAAACATGGTGATTGGCTGTAAAGATTCACCGCTTTCACTCATCTTCATTGAGTGGAAACACAAATACAGGGGCACTGGAGCATTTTAAAGCTGCGAAGATCAGCTGGTCTGTCTATGAGCTTACATACAAGCGATTCGCTGATGAATCGACTGATCTTCAGGGCTTTAAAATGCTCCAGTGCCCCTGTTTCTCTATTTGCACTTGGTGAAGAGCGGTGAACTGATGACCTTCACGGCTAATTACAGTCATTTCTGTTGAGCATATGAACACAATTTCATTTTAGAAGTGTTTAAGAATGCGCTCACATGTTAGCGGAAAATATGCAGTTTCAAAATTTCAGAACCGATTGGTACCGAAATTCAATATCGTCTACATTGTAAAAGCGCTATAGAAATAAAGATGAATTGAACTGAATTGAATAAAGCATTGTTTTTATGCGGTTGTTCCTGCAGGACCAAATAGATGCCACATAAACAACATAAATTAGTCTGTGATCTGTAAATTAACGCATTCACCTCGCCGGCTCATGTACAAATAGATAGCTATTCAACATGTTTCGTGGTTTCTAAATATGTAGCCCTGGACACATATTCCCAATAAGACTAGGTTGGAATCCGCTTTGTAAAACAGTCACTAACTGGCATTACTCTCTCTCTGCAGAAAGAGGAGGATGCAGGTAAGCTGGGTGAGGTGAGGTACTACGGTTTTGGCGGAGGCTTCCCTCTTCAGTATTACCCCTATTACGGCAAACTTCTGCACCCTCAGTACCTGCAGCCGCTGGTGGCCATTCAGTTCCTCAACATCACTCCCAACACGGACATGCGCATCGAGTGCAAAGTGTACGGGGAAAACATTTATTACCACGACAAGGACCGCTACCAGGGACGATTCGACGTTAAATTCAACATTAAAAAATCATGACCTCAAAACACTACCTCCATTCTCTCCCTACTGAAAGGCAAACTAAGGCCCCTCTTCTGACTTGAGATACAGAGAGAAGTTTCTCACCGGTCTTCCACAGCGTTTAACCGAGGAGATGTGTCTTTTGTTTTGTTTTTTCCTGAATGTACAAAGTGTCTCACGTCAGAAAGAGGCCTCATTTTAGTTCAGGAGAGATTAAGTCAAAACAAACAAATAATTAAAAAAGTGAATAAACATGATATATACATATATACACACACACATATACATACAGTGAGCAAAAAAGTATTAAACATGTCACCTTTTTTTCTCAGAAAACAAATTTCTAAAGATGCTGTTGACTTGAAATTTTTCTTAGACGTCAGTAATTTACATTCAAAGAAAATAAAACTAATTAATTTAGAAATAAAGTCACGTGTAATAAAATGAAATGACATAGGGAAAATGTATTGAACATATGAAGAAAGGAAGGTGCAAAAAACGCATGGAAAGACCAGACAGCAGCTCAAATATCTGCTTCTACATTCGAAATTGCTAACTTTCCCTTTTATGTAGTATGTGAAAAACAGTATTGTTCACCAAGTAGTATGTCCGAATTTAGAGTTTTCAAAAAATACCTAATGTTTCCCGTGAAATTCCAGTGGATGCTACACTGTAATGCCTTTAATGCCACATGAGAGAATTCATGAATGGGAGGAAAGTGAAGTGACGCAACCAGGGTTTAATTTGGGCTGGAACAAGCCGGATCCGGAACCTCATTTTAGCCACCTATACCCACCATGGCCCCTGGTCAGAATATAAGCTGTTTCAATGCCAACATCTGCATTACCAGGGTGGACATTTCAGCAAGACAATGATCCCAAACACAGACAAGCTGACTCTCAATTGGTTTCAAAAAAGAAAATAAAGCTGCTACAATGGCTTAGACAATCACCTGACCTGAACCCAATGCAGACATATAGACGAGACCCACAGAAACGTCAAGATTTTTACACTCTGTTGAAGTCTAAAAAAAACTAGCTAAGCAATGGATACAACTCCATTCTCCATACAAGAGGTGTCTTAAATAAAAAAGGTGTCTTGCCCCCCCTCAAAGTATTTACAAAGTATTAAATAGATTTCAGAAGTTCATTACCTTCTCCTTGTGTAATTACACAAAACGTTATTTCTGAAATTTATTTTTGGAAGTTTGGATTGTTTGGGGTTTTGACCAAAATCTGAGTCAATTTCACGTCAACAGCTCCTTTAGATATATATTTACCAGGAAAAATCATGACTTGTTTAATACTATTTTTACCCGCTGTATATATACACAAAAAAAAAAAAACGCAATTCTAAAAACAACACCATCATGTGGGACTGAACATTGTCTGTACTCTTTACTTCAAGCTTTCTGCTTTCAGTCTAGGGTTAGAACGTAAACGCCCGGAGGATTAGCCATATAGCATAGGATATTTATTCTACTCACGAACTGCCCGCCATCAGAGGGGCATGTTGTTTTATTGTAAATTACATTTCCTCGACCGATGTAGCCCGCACTGTTTTGTCCCTCTTGTATTGTATTGCTGCCTCGTGTGATTTCCCTATATTTAGAAAGTGCACAGTAGTTGCATATGTAGGTTGTTTCGAGCCACGCCATGTGTGTGATTCAGCTTCATTTGTCAAACGTGCCTACATATATATAGTTACTTAATGGAAATACACTGGCCTCTTAACATTGCCTTTTGGGGGTATTGATGTTCTAACGCTGCATCTTTTAGGTGTATTAGGTGGGTTATAAACCTTTTTTTCCTTAAAATCACTACAATGTAGGGGGAAGATTGTACTTTGATTCGTTTTCACTGAATGTATGTGTTGCCTTTGGATTTACGGTGTCATTCGCATACCGAACTGCTACTGTAGCTTTGTTTTTGTTTAACCACTTTATTTTCTTCCTCGCCTTGTCGTTCTACGACTTCTTTAAGATGTCGCACGGCATGGTCGAATGTCCTAAAAGAATTCGGTATTCATTAAGTGGTGACCTTAAACGTTCTGTTCTTGCACATGCTCATGGTCTGCAGAAACTCGTCATGAATGTTAATAATGCCAAAGCCATTAAGATTATTCTAGATTCTCTCAGATTTAATTGCAATACCCTGTCCATCGGGATGTTTCGTAGGTGTGCGCAATCAGTGTCAAACATCAGAAAATGTCAAGTTTCACGAGTCCCACAGGCTCTCATGTCGAACTAAACTGGAAAAAAAAAGACTAACCAAAATAAAGCTGAGACTCTAAAGTTGTGCTGTTTGTTTTATTATTTTGTTGACTTGCTTTAGAATCTCCTTACATCATACAAATAACCAGCCAGTTTTGCTAAGGCAGAAAACTACATTACATTACATTGTAAAACCTAAAAAAACGAAGTTCAAAAACTAATCCTAATGAGTACTGTGAACTGAATCTATTTAAGTAAACGAAGCAATTTGAGCACAGTAAAACCCAATAAATGAAGAGAACTCAAACCAACTGAGTACTGTAAAACCCAAAAAGTTTAAGTAACTCAAACCATTTGAGGAAAACACTAATCCTAATGAGTACTGTGAACTTAATCCATTTAAGTTGAAGTAACGAGGTATTTAATTAACTCATTACTAGGCCCACACGGAATGAGCACACACAAGACTGAAAACACTCTTCAAAATAACATATTGTCAAAAGTTGAGACCCCCACCCCTAAAATTTCTGTTTTCAGGGAAACACCTTTCATAATAAAGGAAGCCAAGCTCCTCCATAGTTTACACCCTGGGTCCCAAGACCAAACCACAGCCATCTTCTATACAATGACACAGATTGGCATCATGATTGTGTAATGATGTGGTCATGCTATGACAGTCCAACAATGTCATTTAGTGACACATCTGGCTAATCTTAAATAAATAAGCAAATGTCTCCGACTAAACACAGCCCATGGCGAGATCCTGCTGGGACTCCAGGCTCGATGTTCTAAAAGTTTTTTTGTATTTTTTTTTTAATTTTAGGTGTTGGAACACCTAAGAATTGGACACGATTCTACCTGCTCTCTCATCGTATCACTGGCGGCCCTTTGATGGTGATTAACTAATGTGAGCCTTGATGAATTAAAAATGTGCTTTTGCACCCAAGAGAATCTGAGTGAGCCAAACAGCCACCTGATCTCCTCAGATGTGTGATGTCAACGTGAGTAAAAATAATTCAGATCACGTGTGAGAGAGAGGAAAAGAGAGAGGAAAAGAGAATATGCATGAAAAAAAATTAGATGTATTGCTTACAGAGGTCTGAATGAAATCAAAATGAGTGTTTTTTGGCTTTTACTTTGAATGTGATAGCCTTAAAGGTGCAAAAGGTGGTTGTCTTCAGAAACAATTTTTGTTAAGTCTCTTCACATTCTTATAGATAGCGTTAAATCATGCGGTCCAAATGTTTGTGTATGCATTTTAATATTCTGTGTAAGGGGTAGGGGAAGAAAAGCAACCCAGGCTCATTCTGAAAATGTTCCCCTATATACATTTCTAGAGAGCACCAAATATGTCCCAGGAGGTAATTTTTTTTGCCGTTTTTGTCCACCGGTGGCCACTGCGTATGCTTTTTGAGATCCCAAATTACCCCCGCGAGTGCCATTCATGCCTGCTTTTCTCGTGTAAATCTACCAGAGGCCGCTGTCGACTGACTGACTAAACGACCGATCCCCCCACCCACCCACTTCCCTAAACCCAACCAATAGTGTTTTTAAAAGCACCGATTGACCAGCGCCCACCAACTTCCCTAAACCCAACCAACAGTGTTTTGAAAAGCAATCCAGAAAAAGAAAACCCCTCGCCTGATTTTTACCACATTTTTAGATTTTACCACATTCTAACGCTGTTATTTAGTCTTTTATTTTCTGGCTTCTGTTTTTGTCTTACCTGCTTTTTGGAACTGTTCTTTCCCGCACTCGAATCTCGTCATTGGAGTCAACTCCTCTCAGCTTCTCAAGTCCACCGACGTATGCTGTGAGCCACTGAACAAACAGGTAACATCGGGAAAGCTGCTAGCGCAAAAAGGAACAACATCATACCGGCCCGTAGAGTTTCTTTTAAATACGAAATGCAGCCATACGTACTTCCGGCTACATAATTCGCGATTTCCAGAAATGTATATTGAGGCTACGTTTTCAGAATGAGCTGATGCTGTTTTGTACTTTAATTGATTTATTTTTTATATTTATAAACATTTTTCTTATATCACTCGACCTCCTTTATTACTTTTAATTTTACTGCAAAATAATAATAACACATAAAGCTTCTTGTGACATCTTTCATCTCGATGGACAAGACTCAAAGATCCGAGTCAGTAAAATGATACGAACTGATTTGACTGCTGGACTGGTCCATGATTAAGAGTGGGGGACACATTTACCCAGATGTAGTAATTACGTTCAAATAAAAAAAAAAATTAGACCCTCATTGTGCAAAATATGATAGAAAACAATGTTATTTATAATTTACAGGTATAATTTAAACTTCTAGGTATTTATTTGGGGCCCCCTTGGATTTTCTCGGGCTCTACGTGGCTGCTTACCTTACTTATCGGTTAAATCCACCCCGTCAATGACCATAAACTTGCATTTGAATCTTCAGACTGAACAACGTTTTAGAAAATCATTTATTAATTCTAATGCAGTTTTTAAGGCTGTTTTCTACTGAAAGGTCTTATTCAGCTGCATTCAGTTTATTACAAATTCCAACGCAGTTATAGAACGGTTCATGATTGGGAAACTGGGAAACATACTTCTGTATGTTTGTTGTGAAGGACACTTAAGTATCTATCTGGATAAATCTGAGAGTCATCTCATTGATTGGTTTATCTGATTGAAATGACCTCTTACATGCATTCAATTACTCCTCTCCCTTCCTGCTCTTTCTTTTATTTATTTAAGCATAAGTTACTTGAGAGATTATCCACATGGGGTCAAAATACAGCAAGGTTAAAACCAATCAGGAATGCAATATCCTAATTATGCCAGCATTTTACATTGATTGCATTTAATGGCATACAAAAATGTATCCAAAATACAAAAACAAGTTTAACCATGAAAAATAGCAGGTCTCTAATGCAAGAGTGTCCTTAGTATAGATGACAATACCAGAAAAAGGTTTGTAAAACACTGAACATGACAAAAATACGCTTTTTTTCCTGCAAACTCATTAATCCTTCAAAATTGAATGTCGTTTTATAAGCATCTTGCTTGCACAAAGCATGAAATTGGTTTGTTACCTAGAGGGTTAAAGAGTCATGAAGACCTGATCAGATTACAGACTTATAAGATCATAATCGTGGCATTTGAGAATTAATATAACTAAATTCAGAACAGAAAAAGATTATTATGCAATTTGCTTATCCCCGAAGGCAACACTAGTGATGTGATACTCTGTCATTTTACTGACACTGCTTTAGTTGCATTATATTATCTGTTTCGTAGAGCATAAGGACATTGAATAAACAGACAACGGAGTGGTCATATTGGATTATTCTGTAGGTGGAATATGATATTAGGCTTGAGTAAGCAGGAATGTTCACTTCCTGTGTTTGTGCAGATGCAGTGGCGGGTGAAACGACTCAGCAAATAATACTACGAAAATACACGCTGTGTGAGCCGAAAGAATAACAGATCTAGCATCTTCTTCAGATCTGATATGAATATTTTGTCAGTTTTTTCATCTGCTCTTCTTTTTTTGATCCTGTGCATGATTGATCATGATTTCAAATACCACATCACAGGGATAGTTATCCGAATAATGAAAATTTATCTTGTGTAGTTTTATACCTTTATGAGTTTCTTTCTTCTGTTGAATGGAAGAGAATATATTTTGAAGAATGCTGGTGGCACCCATTGACATCCAAAATTTTGAAAATCAGTGGGTCCCAGCATTTTTCAGATTGTCTTATTTTGTGTTCAACAGAAGGAGGAAACTCAAATAGGTTTTGAACAAGTGAAGGGTGAGTAAATAATGCCAGAATTTTCTTTTCCTTTTCATTTCCAGAATTTTCATTCCTCCAGAACTATTCCTTTAAAAGCAGCCAGGTGGAGTGTTGTACCCTTTCATTCGTGTTCAGCTCTGAACAAGACCATTAATAGAACATGAAAAATACATGCTGTGTAAACAATGCTGAGCATGCACCTGTGCTAAAAGCGGATTTTTTTCTGGGAAGGTCTAGTGCTTACATCATGAATATAATCCGTCTTGGGTTACAACTTGACTGAAACTGTTACCTTCAAACGCCCTTTAGTTTCTCTGCGCTCGGACATGCTTGTGTGTT